TTTGTGAAATTTTGCGAGTTTCAAACCTTTTTACTAATAAAATTGTAACCGTTTTACAAAAACCTACACAAAATTACACAAAATTACGTAAAATTACGGTAATTTAACAACCCTACCTACGTACTTTATTTTTTTAGCACGTATCGCACTTTGGTAAAAAAAAGTGATGCTAGATATTGGATCAACATGGTTTGTTATTATAACAAAGTGCATACCGGTTATTCTAAATTTGTAAATCAGGCTTAAATATAGCGTGTAAAATTATTATCGTACCCCGTATAAGTATACCTACTCAACAGGTTATTAACGATCTAATCCCAAATATAGAAAATGTACAATTGTTGGCGTGTTTAATAATTGTGGTGCCAAATATAGTAAATATGTAATTGTTAGCGTAGAAATTATCATGTTAAATTATTATAACGCCAAATAAAGCGACGTGCGATTGTTTTATAAAGTGTTAAATTATTGTAGCGATACGTGATTGACTTAAATTCAATACTAAATATAACATACTATAATTTGTTATATAAATTCTTCAATAAAGAGGGCTTTCTTTCAGTATATAATCAAACTTATTTGTTTTTCAACTCACTAATCTTATACTTCGTGCAATACAAATATTTACATCTTTTTTTTTACCAAAGACAGCAATTGCAATACAAACATTAAATAATAAATGAAAGGAAGAGGTGATTGTATTACAGGATGAATCTACTAAAACCAAATTGTCGAGACAGGCCTATACACGTAAAAATAAAAAACTTAGGCATGAGCAGAAACAAACCAAGATGCTTCATAGCCCGAATGATGATATTCTTCCAGTAATCGATGATATTATCTTTGATCCATCTCGGGTATGGTGAAGGGAACTCATTCGTTTTACAAAAATTTGCAATCTTTCGGAAAAAAAAAAATGCTCATATCCATTATTTTATTTTACTAGCATAGAATCCAATCTGCTACCCGAAAATTGTTTGCTATTGACAATATTTATTACTTGAAAAGGGAATGGAGAAGCGTTCCTCTCTGTCCTTCTGATAGAATATCTTCTAAAAAAATTAGGACTCAACATAATATATCAGCTAAAGACTTACTTATTGAAATGTTACTGAGAGAGGCATCTACTAGCAATAATTCTATTGACTTACCCAAAATTTCTCCAGATTTTTTATCTCTAGTTTATAGTGATATTATTAAGGAAAAGAATGGTGTTAAAGAACCATTGGACATTGATACTAATAACAAATGATTGTGGATTGCTTTCGGGCAGTAGTTAGGTTTAAAGAGATCAAAAGGACTACTAAGAAGGAAGCATGTGCGAGAACACCTCAGACTATTATAGAAAAAACTCTAGCATGCTTATGTTGAGTTGCAAAATTTCTTCAATACGGCTACTATACATAAAAATCAAAAAGAAAAAACATAGCTTATCGTATCAGCACGAAATAATAACAAATCGCTAGATAAGCTAGTTTAACTTGAACATATTTTTGAATCTAAGTGCATTACAAACTTGGGTCACCGAACATTAATTCACTTGGAGCAACTCGATGATCCAGATGCTGTTACAACTGCATCTAATATTATAAATTGGTACTATTTCCATTTATTAGAAAATCCTTCATACCGAAGTAAAGAATTTTGGACCAATTTTATTGAGCATTTTGGAACTTATACAAGAAACAATTTACTTCCCTTCACAAGCTCTAATACTGCGAGTACACATAATATTAATCATCATGAATGTGTCAATAAATTACTTCGGGGTCTTAGGAAATTATCAAAAAGTATCAATCGGTTTCTTCAAGAATATTATGTGGATTTATATACAAAATTGAGTAAATTATCATGGGGCCCATTCGCTCCAAGAGCATTTAGAGTTTTCTCAATGATAGCTATCAACTTTAATACCATTAGTAACTATTATTGAGATGATCATGATGAACCAAATAGTCTGTGTATTTTAGTCACACTAGGGGATTTCGAAGAAGGAGAATTATATTTTCCTCAACTTCAAGTAGTTGTACATCTTCGGTCAGGACAAGTAGTGGTATTTGCATCCCGTCTATTGCTCTATGGTAATTTTACAGTTACAAAAGGCATTCGGCATAGTATTGTGTACTTTGTGCACGATACATTCTTTCATAATTTACAGGATTTTGATTCTACTTATCTTGAGGCTAGAATTGAGAAAGCTAATGGACCAATAGTTTTTGAGCAGAACCTTAATAATGCTTAAGATTTAAACCATCGCGACCAACTTTTCAAACCGAAAGCAAGCCAAATACAAATCCCTTCTACTGTCTCTGATCATAGACGAGGATATATAAGTATGAATTATTTTACGGTTAATATGTAAAAAATATAGTTATTATCGTTATTAATAATCAAATATTTTTATAGATTTAGCACGTGCTCGACGAGGTTTAAGGACAGAAGATCTGCTTCCAGATTTATAGTATATTATTTATATATTTTGCTTCGACTACTGTATACTTATGTGATTATATAAAACTTGTAAATCGATCAAAAATTCAGAAAATTATTGTCAAAACATTATTTGGTTATATTGTACAAATGTT